GTTCATCACATAAATTTTGGAAAGAAAGATTTAATTATGGTCTAAGGTCAGACTGGAAAATGCAAAATAAAATGGGTGAGTAGTTTCAGTAATCAATTTTAAGATCCATGAAATATATAAGCTGTGAAAATTGGTCCTGATTTGGTGCTCTCTAAAACATACAATGAATTATTATGATAATTTATTTTAAAAGTAATGCTTCCATAAGATGTTTTGTGAAACTTAACCAGACAGAACTTCCAAACAAGCTGTCATGAACCGCCTGCTCATAAAACACTTCAAAATACTTTTAAATCTACTTCTCCTATTGATTCCAGCTACCTGTGAGGAACAATTTAAAACCACCCTTCAATTTTGAGTTTTTGAGTTTTCTCTAAGTACAATATGCCTACATGATGCAGGTAGACATACAATTTATTGTGAACCCACAACAAAACCTGTAGTGCTCTCTACCTATAAGTAAACAATTAGGACTTTGGTTACTAGCTATCACTTTTCTTAATTATGATCCGGAGAGCATTCATCAACACTGTTGTTAGTTTTCCCTTCAATCGCATACTAGCAAATGAAACGTACTGCATTGTAAAAAGGTATCTATGATTAATTTGAATTTTATAAACTGTCTTGAAATTCAAGTTTATTATGAAGGAAGAAGCGAAGAATGATTGAAATGAGTGAATGAAATAAAAGAATGAATGAAAACAAGAAGCTATTTCTGGACTTTGCCCATGGTGAAGCTTTACCAATGTATGGTTCTTAGAATATTAATGCAAATATCGACTTTAGAGTTCATGTATAATCATTGGTTTTCAGTTGCTCAGTTAGTTTCTACACAGAAAGAATAGCTAGGTATTTGCCTGACATATTAAAACATTTAGCATGTTTAGATTTGTCTACAGTTCTAAATTCCTAAATCAAATTTCTCTAATAAATCTTCACTCTTATACATACGAGCATCACCAGGGAAAGATGTCTTTACCTTGTGGTTTCAGGCAGTGAAGGAAGTTAAGTTTATTTTGCTTTATGTAGGAGAATTTATAATAAGTTTCTGTTGTGAAATTTGTGTACAGCAGGCAAAGTGTTGGGAACCTCTCACTTAAGAGGTACTTCTCATTTGAATGTAGGAATATCCTGAGTCCAGCCTATCCCAGGTTCAATCAAGAGTCTATTTCAAACTCAGTCTATTTCAAGTTCAATAACAACATTTTATGCACAGCATTTGTACCTATGGTAATTTTGCTCTGAAATGCAGAAGAGTACCATCATACTGGTATGTGTTTGGTCTCAGAATTTTGCTTGCTTGCAAAACTCAGCAACATAAATCAAATAAAGATTGAAAAAATATCGCACAGCCAGCAACTACAAATGCCTCCATCTGATCATTTTCAAATCTAACCACAGAACTTGCATGACATATGCCTTCGAAGAGTCTTGGTTCTTCTCATTAAACGTTGCAGGCTATGTTTCCTTGATTTGATGATATTAATATACTCACCTTAAAACCACATCTATTCCTACATTTGGTTTGTTGCCCAGCAGTAAGAAGAAAATATGTCATAAATTTCAAAGAACGTTGAACTTGCTGGTGTTGAACAAGATTATGTTTTTCAATTACGTTTGATTTACTAACCTCCCTAATAGACAACTTCATTTTACAGAGATGTCCTAAATCTTAAAATCAATTTTAACAACATATTAAGAACTCTCACTCTAGCCTTTGACATATTTTCTTTTTTATGGTTCCTCATGTTTTAAATACTTTTCCCTTCCCCAGTCATTTAATTATATGAAATCACAACCAACATGGTTCAATAAAAGCCACTTTTTTCCTCTATCTGACAACCTTCAGAGCTGACTTCTAACCCGCAGACCAAAACTTCAATGCCACTAAGTTTTAATTCTAGTCTTTGCCTTGCATTTAATGAAAAAAGTCAGGATTGTCAAATTTACATGAAAAATTATTTCAATATGCTTTTATAATTTTAGAAATGTAATATTAACGGTAATATGAATTAAATATGCCAAATTTTAAAGGAATTTTGAAGTCCAGCTTTTATAAATTTGAACAAGAGCCAGTCATTTTTTTAATCAAAACCATGTTAAATATTCATTCATGTTTCAATGTGAGCACTTATAATAAAGTAAACCCTTCAATGTAACCATCAATATAGCAAAAGCCGTGAATAATCATAGAATCGATTTTATTGCATAACACTAAGGCAAAATTTTCAGCCAATATATGCAAAGATTATATTACAATGATGGCTCTTATGAAAGGGTTCGCATTAAAACACAAGTTATTCTTAATATACAGAAAAGCAAAACTAAAAGCAAAGCAACGCTGTGAGTACAGTGTTATAATTAAAAGGAAAAAAAAACAAAAAAAATCTGACACTATCATATTACAGTATTTTTAAAGTAACTTCTTATCAATGACATCAAAATATTGGACCAGGCAGGACGAGAAAAGAAAATCTGTAGACTGTTGCCTTATTAATTTTATATATTGAGTGTAGTTCTCTTTTAGTAGAAATGTTAACGGTCAAAGAATTTTTAAGATAGCTTGCATAAGTATATCTCATTATTGGTACTCAGTATAGACCACTACCACTAAAGGAGTTGATTCTTACAAGATAGTTAAGGTCAATCACTTCAAAATATCGAGAAAAAAACACAGGGAAAATGGAACTTGCATCACATCTTAGATGGTTTGAAACACGTAACACTTTACCATGCTTGTAACTGTTGAATAGGAAATTCTGGCACCAAAAGACAATTTAAACTCCGAAAGACAATGTCACATTGTCTAAATACGTGTGTACACACGCGCACGCATACACGCACTCTTGATTGTCCAGACATTCCAACAACTCCTTATTACTCCCACCTACCAAATGGAAAAAAAGAATCTTTTAATTCCTCCTCCACCCCACACGTTAATAAAACCAAAATTAGCCTGTATTGCCATGGTACACTTTCTGGAGGGACTGCAGTAGCTTTCCTCATGATGCCTCCAGGTAGGGCTACCTGGCTACAACATTGTGAAACCAACTAGCAAAGATTTAACTGCTGAATATTTGAAGTTATGGTTAATTAAAAGAAAATAAAAATTTCTCCACTGTTTTTAATTTTCATTTTTTGCTTTTGTTTTCAAGTAAAATCAGGCATTTAATCAAAGTGTCATTTTCAGTGATCTCCACAGTGAGCTACAGCTTCTACATGGACATATTCTTGTGTTATACAAAATAGATAATATATGCAATAGTAATTTCAGATTGAGAAAATATTAGACATAAAAATAGACTTCTGCAAAAACCACTACTTTCTGCCACCAGAACTTTCAAAAAGGACATATCGTATATAAGCTGTGGCAAACCAAGCATTTGAGATCCCACAGGATCTCCCTTTCCCTGCTTTATTTAATGCAGAAAATTCACATGTAGGCCATAATCAGCCAAGAGATTGTGCTTCAAAAGATTTTGCGGATATGAGGCAGAGAATTTCACAGAGATTTGTCTGGTGTTCATACATTCTGAAAACTAAAGTAACCGGGATTCTTTGAATTAAGCAACAACCTGAGAAATTACCAACTCCACAGGCAATGAGATTTTATGGCAAATCAGTGCTACATTCAAGTTTTCCAACTAGTGCCATCAAAGTACCTGTGAATATCACCATTTAGGCAGGAATACCAGATACAATCCTACCACTCTAAAAGCCTCTTTTACCAAGAAAATAGTGCAATTAGGCATGAAAATAAAATTAAAAGAAGAAAACCAAGAAAATATGAAAAGATTACGGTTTTCATCCTTAAGGCAATCTCCCATGCAAAAGTGGCAAGGGAAAATTTCCGAATACAGAGCCCATGTTACAAACATTTTGAAGGCCAACGGCGCTCCGCAGAACTAAGATGACTCTCAGGTGACCTGCCTGAGCTCACAACATGCATCTGACACAAACCACTCGTTTTACTGATGAGGACAAGGGCAATCATAGCCAAAGCCACTCATACAAGCAAGTGCTACCAAATCCTTGAATCCTCTGAAGAGCAGAGGCCAGATAAGCATGATTTCAGAGACAGATGATTATGGTTAAAGTTTGACATGTTTACAAGAAACAACTTTAAACCATTACCAGTTTTAATCTTCTCATCTATAAACAACGTACTTCCAAGTTTTAACACACGGGTTGAGGATGGTCCACATGCTTGAAAAAAACCCACCCATTTGAAAGAGTACGCAAATACTAGAGGTGGGGGTCATTTTAGTTTTAATAGTTAACACAGACAATAGTGATGGATCATTGTTCCTTAAAATTGGTCCTCTCTAGGTCATCAAATTAATTAAAATAAGGAGTACAGAGTTAAATTTGCTTTAAAAGTGAAAGCTTTGAAAACAATTTTCTGATGAACTGGGGACTTTTTCTGAAACTTGTAACTGACACACAAGTGTTGGGGATAAAACATCCCACGTTTCAAAGCCTCTGAACAAGCCTTGCTAAGAACCTCAGACAGAAGTCATATTATTACGACTCTTCAAAATTAAATTAATTCCATATTTCATTGTTGGAACACCATTCTAAACGCAAAATTAAGAGAAATTGTTCTTCCTTACTACACAGAGTAACAACTTTTTCTGTGCTTAAAAAGTTAGCAACGCAAATGTCTAGATCATGATAAGAAATATTCCACTGTCAGGCAAAGGGAAAAATAAGTAACAGCCACCTCTCATACAACACAACTAGGACTGCAAATTGCAAGAAAAAGTGCATACTCAGGTCTCATATTTACTATCACTGAACAGCGATACTTAAAATAAAAGATATCAATTTTACATTTATCTTCAGCTAAGTAAAATATCTAAAGGAAAATAAAATTTCTAGCAAATTCTTCTGTATCATAGATTATCAGTAAATGAAAACATTATCATTCTCATGCTGCTAAAAATTACAGGCCAGTATATCCTCTAAAAAGATCATCAATAGACTTTGACATTACTCACCCCACTGGAGAGGAGCCAACTGTAGATGCTCCAGGACCAGTTGATTAAGAACACCTTCCACACTTGCTTCCCCTTCACGCTTCAAGGAAGGGTAAATTGGAATTAAGGAAAATGCTTCAGAGAGAAAAAGAGCATGTAATACATACAACTTTTATTATTGCAAATCAAAACTGCAAGCTAGAGAGTCATTAAAGGTTAATGTTACATATTTGGTTTATTAACCCATGAATTGGCTAACAATAATAATTAGAGCAGTTGATATCTTCAGAATATAAAAATTTAATTCCACCGAGGAGTGTTAAATATGAAGATGCAAAGGTAAAATGTACCTGAACCACAGTAAAACACAAGGGGAAAAAAGTCTAGAAGCTGTAAAAATGCAGAACCTGTAACTACGTGGTGCAGGATCAGAAGTCAAAATGACAAATTAAGAGCAATCTGAAAACAAAAAGGATAAAATTTAATAAGGCAATACAAAACAGAACAAATGTGGGCTAGGATGGCTTTGAATACCGGCTCGGTGTCAGTTCTGGGGAGGTACAGGGATGTCAGAGAATGCAGTGACAGTGTCGTTAGCGAGGGCAAACATCATACCGGCATCGCACAGGCACATAACCTGCAAGCTTCCCTTTCTACTCACTCCTGTAGGAGCTTAGTAACAAGCTCAGACCGAAAAGAGAAAAAATTAGGAAATGTTCTTACTCTAAGGACAGTGAAGCACTGAAATAAACTGTTGGGAAAACCAGAATCTCTATTTTTAAAGGGCTACAAAACAGGTTATACAAGTGCTAATGTATAAGCTTAGGCAACATCCAATGTAACACAAAGATAATATTTCCCATTTAAACAAATTAATAACAATTTCATGTGTGATGCCTCAACCAAGATAACATGTATCTGTAACAGGAAGAGCACTGGATTTCTTTTTTCTAATTCCTTGACTTCAGAAAGGCACTGAGTACAAAGGGCTTTGAAGCACATGCAAATGTCAGCACCGTTTTGTGTTTGGCCAAAGCTGCATTCACGGGCTTTGGTACGATTTTGTACCACAAGAAGCCCCTGTCGTGGCTAGGTTGGCAGGAACAAGTGGAGGTGGAGCAAGCACGGCTCCTTCATGGAGCCTTCTATCGTCTTTATAGCTCGGCTCAGGCTTTCCCACAACAGGAGCATCACACAGAAACAAAATTCAAGAGAGAGGCAGGACCCTCTCTGACACTTGAATAAACTCCTTTTCCAACTTTGAAATCTTCAAGTGAAACAACCATAGGTGAGTGGTGTCCCACAATAATTAAGGGCTAAGCTCCTAGCAAGACTGATCAAGGTTTCAACCGACGACTCCGAAAGTACTGGAACCATCTTCCTCTAAAAATAGATGAAAAAAATAGAAGAATATATTAGCTTTTATAAACAGCTCCTAAATGGGATCAGTCCTTTTTCTGCAAAACTCTGGAAAGAGAGGCACATCATCTGACTGATAAAGTATGTTCTCATCTGTGTCATGGAAAAGAAAATTAACAAGTTCTGCAGATAACTAATTTCTACCACAGGACACAATTTTACAGGCTCCAGGAGGTTTAAAAGAAAAGTCTTGAAATCTCAGATTAAAATGAGATCTAACAATTAGTGATTGAGACTCAAGAGCTCAAGGAGATGATAGTTAATACATTGCATAGCATTCTCGCAATTTTATTTTTTTTAACTAATTCTCATTATACCCTGGAAAATGTCTTAAATAGCTTTTTTTTTTTTTTTTTTCCCCTGAAAGGACTACAAATGAAGAATTCACAAACCCCAAAGAGTCTGAAAGCCATAAACGCCATTAAAGAAAAGCACCTATTTGGAAAACTGAAGGCAGCGAATACCACCTTAGAAAAACATTGCTGCTGAAAAATAAGACCCAGAACACCAGCACAACAGAATAATTTCCATAAACCAAACTATAGGATAGAGAACACATAATTTGGATTACTTCACAGATATGGCAGATAAATAATTCTGCTATCACATTTTTAATGTAAGGAATATAAGTGAGAGAAAACACTAATAAAAAGGCAGTATTTAAAAGAAGTTTTAAAACAGAGTGGATGCCATTAACTGTAATGTTAAACTAACGTAACTGTAATTTACTTACAACTGGCTCACAGTGGTGTCTGCAATATTACAAATTTTCACTGCTTAAAGCTCCATGGAAAGCTTAATGTCTCAGATACCATTATAAAATGACTATAAAATAGGTGATTCTCCAAACTTAACATTGGTAAATGCTATCAAAGCAGATCCATGTATTCATCAGGAAAACTCATTTTGCAGTTTCAGATTCAACACAACTACAAATTATTTCTGAAGCCAACTGCTTCTTAGATTGGGTGCAAAACATATGCATAGCTATACCTCAACTAATAAAAAATGACACACCTACGCCTCTTAAATCCTGTGTCCAGTTTTGGTTCCCCAGTTCAAGACATTGAAATACAGGACAAAGTTCCCTGGAGGGTTACCAAGATGATTAGCGAGCTGGAGCACATAACATATAAAAAGAAGTTGAGAGAACAGAGTTTGTTTGGTCTGGAGAAGAGAAGAAAGCCTGAGGAGACATTTTATTGCTGTCTATTATAGTGGGAGGGTATAGAGAAGATGGAGGCAGACTTTTGGAGGAGCATAGTAATACAAAGAGGGGCAATGGATACAAGTTGCCGGGCAGGGTGTTACACCAGACCCGAACAGGTTCCTTCCAACCTAAATTATTCTACAAGCAATGTAACCTCGCTGTCTTGAGATCACTCCGCCGGCAGACCTGGCAGTGCCAGTGCCATTCAGTGCAGCATTCAGGCTGCCCCGCAGGTATGGCAAAATAGGCATTTACATTATGTTTGAGTCTAAGTCGCACAACCCGATTCAGCAAACACGCTTTCTCTTGACAGCAAATCCCAGAAGTACGTAGTTTAACCGGTAACTGAAATCTTGCCCTCAGAGTATCTAGTCCAGCTTAAGCTCTGCTGCCAAGCAGACTCAAAGACAAAAATCACTGAAGCTGCCAGAGAAGCCCAGTATAGTTGGTACAGTCTAACCATTCCTAATGGGCACAAATAGCACTGAATTTCGTATCATTGACCTTTGTGTCTTGACTGTATATCACGCAATTATATAAAATTGCTCATTACAGTGCAAATACAAACTCAACATTGTAGCCAACTCATCACCTTGGAGATGAAAAGCAACCAAAATATGCAGTAATAAAATGTCAGAGCAAAAAGAGAGAAAAGCTTAACTCAAGAGTTTGCCTATTTTCTAAGACAAGCCTTTAGCAGTCAATGAAAGCAAAGGGGTTGGAACAGGGGGTGCCAATATACCCTTTCACACTTAGCTCAAAGTGGAACCTGAGAAATGACAAAAGTGTAAGGTCCAGGATTTAAAATTCATTGACAAAAATTGCACAGATGAACGGAAGTACAGACTGCCAAAGTTTGACCTTGCAGAATCTATCTACTTAACTACACCTCCAAGCATTTTGCTGAAATCTCACTGTGATTACAAACCTGCTCTTCCAGAGGAGTCAGGTTCTTAAATGCCGTTGTTGACCCAGGCCTCAGTTCCAGCAGTCAAATCTCTGTTATTAACAACACATGCATCAGCCAGGACTGAAACAGTTGACTTGCAGTTTCCAGTGCAACCATTCACATTTGGCAGTTCAAGACATTTTCATTTACTCAATCGAATGAGTTTCAGTGGGGGCCTCGGAGCCAATGAACACACAACTACCAGATGCTGTTTAAAAAAAATAAAAGCCAATACCTAATTTTTCACAGCAGACAGCTTTATTTCACGTTCCTTTAGCAACAGATTTTATATGATATAAACTGCTTCATACCAAAAACCTGAATGACAGTCAAATGAACTACTTATTTCCCCAAGGAAAACTTTGGTCTTTTATACTATCTTAATTGTGTAATGTGTAGCTGGGTACCTACAATTATAACACAGCATGTTATCTAAAACCTACTGCTTAAAAAGACAACAGACTTTAAAAAATGGTTTTTATCTTAAAGTTACTCATGTTTTTTCTCTTTGCAGTGTTCCACATCTTGCATCCTTCTAAAAAGATTTATTTTCAATAACATATTCCTCAGTTCCTTTGCAAATAAATACAGGTGGAAGCATGCACACAATCATAAACAAATTAGCAAATGTTCATAAATAAAAATTATACTAATGAAAAACAAATTTAAATGATTAATGATCACAGTTTACTTATAGCAGTCGCCTTAGTCATATTTTAAGCTTTCCTCTTGATTATCATTGTGGTACTTTATTATTAAAACTAATTACCTGCAGTTATTGAGGTTCTTAAATAATAGTTACTTTCGCAAACAATCGCTGATGCTAAGAAGCTGCATGGAAATGTAAAGCTCCATCCATCTAAAGTATTTCTAAGGAAACCTTTACCGATGTACAAAAGTTGCACAACATGCAATATTCTCATAACTGAAGATTCATAATTATGATCAAGAGGAAGTCATCAAAAGCTGAATAGAAAAACAGAAAACTAAATTTCAATAACAGTTATCAGTGGTTTGCTGTCAAGCCCAGACAGCATATCAAATGACTCAAGGTTCCGTCCGGTACATAATAATTTCAAAATTCTGATTGGCTACTTAGATGATGAAATACAAAAACATTCATAAAATTTATGTATTTGGAAAAAATGTCAGTGTTCGCAAACCTAATAAATGAGTGGAACTTATGAAGATGACTTAGATGAAATTCAATGAAGAAAAGTTCCAAGTATCACCCTGGAAGGAATCAACAAATCTATAAATGGAAGTTGGGAATAATTATTCAGTCAGTTATGCTGGACCACATGCAAAAAAAATCAATCGGACATGGGACACTTGCAAAAGAAACCAAGAACAGTTCTCAGAGCAAGCACCATATCTGAAACATGGAAGGTATAGCTTTTATTTTATGAGAAAGCTCACCTGAAGTATTGCTTCCAGCTATGGATCCCACGTATTGAGAAAAATATAGCTATACTGCAGAGCAACATCAGCAATATGACCGAAAGGAAATGTGCTTTGAAAAAATGTTGGCAATTAGGTTTAAATATAGAAAAGAAAAAATTGAGGAAGGGGCACACAGAATACATTTTCAAAATGTAAGAAAACATTGCAAATAGGACAGGCTTCATATAAATCACAGAAATTAATGCTGAAGTAAGAAAAAAATGTCTAACTATTAGAAAAGTTAAAAATGGAACATGATATTTAAGGTGACACTGGAAGTCTCATTTTTTAAAGGCTGTTAGGGCCCAGTTTAGAATATTTTCAAGAAAATGACTCCAAAATGTTATAGTCTCATTTCACTGAAACAGCAATTCTTTCACAGTACGTTAGAAAACTTCTCTGGCTGCAATCAAACCTGGGGAGAGCAGGAGACGGGGAGGAAAAGGAGTTTAGTTTTCAACATTCATTCTCTGACCCAGGCCACTGCGTGGCTGCACAAATCACAGAATAATTTATATTGAAAGGCAATTTCGGAGTCGGTGTCCAACCCTGTGCTCAAAGCATGGAAAATATTGGAATTGCATCAGGTTATTCAAGGCCTTGACCAGAATTTTTCAGCATCTTCAAAGACATCAGTTTTACAGCACTTTCGGACAACCTGTTCCACTATTTGAGCATCCTCATTGCGAAAAGGATTTTTCCTAGTACCTAATCAGAATTTACCTGGCTGCAACTTGCTACAGTGACCTTGTGATATGCCTTGCTTGAAGAGTTAGATTTACCTTATTGACTCCTGCAACTCTCGGGCTTTGAGAAGGTTGCCCCTGGAGGTCCATCAGCTCTCCTGGACCCTTGTGCTCCTGAGAGCAGCCTCCTGAGCAATCCCACCTAACAGTTCCCCAAACCCTCCTCTCCTGAAGTCCAGAGTCATTATCCTGCTACTTGCCTTCCTCACTTTCCTTGGAATATTAAACTCCACCATCTCGGGGCGACCGTAGTCAAGGCTGCCATCAAACTTCACCCCTCTAACTGGATCTTCATTATTTTCAAGTAGCAGATCCCACACAGCACATGCCAAATCAAGCCACCCAGCACTTGTACACAAAAAGCGTCCTTAAAGTACTCCAGAAATCTCCTGACCTGCCATTAGAAGACTTCTTCCAGTTGTTAAAGGAAGCGTCCATCCAGCTTTGCTTCCTGATTGGGTGGTCTGTAACTAATGCACACTGCATCACCCTGTTGGACTCCTCTGTTCTTGATCCAAAAGCTTTCAACTGGCTCATCACTCATCTAACAATTCCCTGTGCACATCGTCATCTCTGCCCAGCCTTCCTAAATAACCCACGCCCACCTGTCAGTGCACCCTGCTCACGCAAACTACCAACTATATCGCTGAAATCCCGATGACATCAGAGCTCTGCAACTGCGCGCTGACCTCTAATTCCTCCTCCACGTGCTTTTGCAAGTTCAGGTGTAAGCATCTGACATGGGCTCTCGATCACACTTCAGGGTAGATTTGGAGATCCTAACCCATCGCTTTCTCCTGCCCATGCTTCCCCCTTCTGGCACTGCTCTACAGGCTTTGGGGTCCATCCTGCAAGGTACCAAGTTTAAAGCTAGACTCACTAGACTAGCAAGTCTGCTGGGAAAGATGCTCTTACCTCACTTCATCAGGAGGGTGACAAGAGCCACCCAGAGCTAGAGGACAGAGAAAGACTGTTCATTAAGAAGCAGCAAAAGTTATGACAAGCTAAAAAAGTAGATGTAAAACTGAAGCAGAACTAACTTCTTGATGCTATCCCCAGCCAAACAGTTCTGTGCTTCCTACGAAAAATCCCTTCTGCCATCTGAACTTTGATAAATCTTTGCTTATTCTTCTAAAAATGAGGATCACCTGTATGTGACCAAATTCTCTGAAATAATTCTGAACATATTTGAATTTCTGAAGTCAAAATGTAGATGGCACAAATCAATGGAATACTCTGAGGAGTAATAAACTATGGTGGGTCTAACACAGAGCATGTAAAGACCACAAAGAGAAGTTTAACCTGCCCTTTGTCTTCCACATGGGTAACATGACGTTTCTTAACTCAAGATTTTGAAGAAGCCAGGTACAAAGTATCAGTAAAAAGATGAAAATCTTAGAGCACTCAGCAACAGACACAGCACTCTAGAAACTTCAAAGGACACTTAGTACAGATGCCTTGATCCATGAATCAGAATGCGTAGAAGTCCCTGAAGAAAATAAAAAGAGAAGCATAATTTGAAAATTTTAGCCACCTTAATGCTATATATGCTCCGTCTGTTCAAATCCTGTGTTAAAACAAACGCCAGTTGTTAAGCTGATACCAGATGCCATCTAACAGATGCTAAAAAACAAGACAGCATGTTCTTAATTTAAATGATCTCAGTACACCTATAATCTCAAAGATACACTAAATTACATTACTCCAGAATGTTTCTTAGTTGAAATGGCATGGCAGTAAGCTTTCTCATAAGGAGGTCTATTTTCCTAATAATTTTCGTTCTATCAAAAATGTACAAAGGTTGAATTGAATAATATGCTGTGTTGTCTTTACCCCCTCCCTTCAGGCCTCCAAAAGTATATGAAAATCAATCAAGTTTCACAATACTTTCACAAATGGAGCACAGAAAATCTTGTCACTTGGAACCCTGAATATTTCAATGGATAAAGCCATGGAAAATGGACTTCCCATAGTGGAAAATACTTCTGGTGCTCCTCAAGACATACAGATACAACCTGAAATCCTCATCCTTTGTGAACTATATTTGGCCCTCACAGGAGTTTCATAGAACTAACTTTTCACTGCAGTCAATGTAATCCACACCATTAAAACCTGAAACCTTTGTTTATGTGATGGTTTCATATGGTATCAACCAATACAGTGAGAACTCAAGGAACTGCAAACTAAATAATATAGCCCTTCCCTTGTAAACAGTAAGGTTACTTATATCAAAATTGTCTGAACTTGTTCTCTAAAATACACATTCCTCTTCTCGTGTCTACACTTAGCAGAGAAAGGGTAGCTGGAGAGCTCAAAGTAGTTCAAAGACAGTAGACACCAAAGAGATCACTTGGTCTTACCATTCAAGACTTTTGCAAAAATGCCTTCTCTAGTAAGAAATACAAGCAACTATATCCCTTTGTATTTTTGCAAATACCTTTTATCTCTTGGCTGCATTTAGGCTGGCTTCTGAAGGAAAACAAGCCTTATGCAGTTAAGTCATGCATCCATTTCTCCGTGTGTCTGTCCATCAGTATGTCTAAAATAAAATCTGCTGGCCAGGGTCAAATTACTCTGGTGGGAGGACAGAGGTCTCAGAAGTGAATTTTCTCAAACTTAGCAGAAATGAGAGGAGAAATTTTTTTTACTGGTTCCCATCTAAATGCTGCTGCACAAAATAAAAGGATGAGAAAGACTGACTCCAGTTGGGACATGAAATTTGGAAAACAATGTACACGTTTCTTCAAGAATTTTTAAGCACACATGCAATTTGTTGCCTTTCGTTAGAATAGGTTTAGGTCTAGGAACAGAGAGAACATTCATAACGAATCTTCAAAACACAGAAACTAATGCTTGCACTGAATTTAACACACAGAATTCATGCATTGTTCTATTGGTTTTCTAAGGTACTGACTGACGTGTCAGCCATGATAGTGCTGGTATCAAAATTAGGTTTAAATACAGAACACAGAATGGATGTAAACAGTGTCGCTCAGCAACAGCAATGAATGAGGATGTATTTTTACACCCTGACAAAATTATTACAACTATGCATTCGATTCCAGTGCAAGAATTCAACTATGCTATCAAAGCATATTTATATCTTTCCATAACACAGAAATTGTCTAAGTGAGTTCTGGTTAAATATTGACGTTTCTGCAGAAACGGAACTCTTTCTGAAATGCTGCTTAGGGAGCCTGGATGGAAGCAGGCACTAGGAATCTCATTTATGTCTCAAGTCTTGCCTGTGACAAATCCTGTGCAGCTGATTTAATAATTAGTAATGAAAAATCATTTCAGATCACTAGATAAAAGTACAATTAAAAGTACAAAACAATAAACCACGATTTGATTGCCACTCTTCTCTCCTTTCCTGCCACCCACTATCACGCGAATTTGAGGATGATCTGAGTGAAAAATATAAATCTCCTGGAAGATGCTGAGTATCAACACATGGCTTGGGGGGTGCTGGCTGCACAGAATGTTTCCCTGATGAAAAAGTGTATTTTTTTTACAAGTCAAGCACAAGATTTTTTATGGAAATCATGAAATTTACAGCAACACCATTCGTTTATTTTAACTCTAAACTGAATGTAATTTCTTATTCATAATCACAGGGCAATATTTTACTGCATTTAGAACGATTAGGGGAATTTTATGTTTAGAATAAGACATCATGCAAGTCCTTTCTAAGCCTTAAAAAGGCTACCCAAGATTAGATATATTACTAAACCTGTAGAGTGGACTTGGAAATAAATTATTCTAATATGTTCTGATTTGCTCAAATGTAATTAAATATATGAAAACTCGCTAAATACAGCTTCATGTATTTCTTCATGATTCAGTTACTCGGTGTGGGGGAGAAAAGAAAAATTTCACCCTATAAAACTACTATTCATCAATCCTAACTATACTTCCTCAGTTCCCTACAAGTTGGGAAAAACACACAGGGTTTGTGGCAGGCTCAATGACTCAGAAAAAGCCATTATAGTAAGACCCAAGCATCGTCTAAATAATATACAGCACAATTAACCTTAAACAGTCTATAATTATGATAAGCTTCATAGTTCTAATTACTTTTCTTTTCAGTAACACTGCTATAAAGTGAGCTGAATTATAAAATAAAATGTGTCATAGGGCATCTATTTATATATTTTTAAAGCAAGTCTTTATGAAAGGATATAATTTTCCAGCAAATATCCAGCTTGCTGTTAATCTCCAGGCCTTTTGCTTGTTGCCTTTCTTCTTCCAGCTGCTTTGCATTCGCAAACTGTGTCCCATCGGTAGGGGATTCTGGGAAGCTCTCGAAATTGAACTTGTCAACTTGGATAGCCATACTGTAGCAAAGGGAACAGAAAGAGAAAAAAACCCAGGATTTTTACAATAACAATTTTACAGATATTACTTCTGCAGAAAATGCAGACCACTGTGAAACCAAGCACTACAACATTAGTCTATTTGTCTCAGTGGCATCTAGTCTGTATACTAATGATATACGAGCCATATGATTTATGCTACTGAAAACAGAAATCTAAGCCTGTTGAAGATGGTAAGATTTTTTTACAAATCACGAATCAACATCTTGAAGCCTTTGTGAGTGCTACACAAGACACCTGTTTTGCAGTTGCAACTAGTTGACCTTATTGTGGTTCTGCAAAAGTTCATCTGCCTTCACTCTTACTATGTAAAAACTCCTAGTGTGCTTAAGACTTGCTGAAAAAAAGCAACAAGCCTGGGCCAAACGCTGATGAACACACTATTTAAAGTAGTTTATTAATCCCAGCCTATACACAAGTGAAGCAAAATATTATAAACAGAAGTGTCTCCTGAAGTGAACAGTAACACACTTAGGAAGCCACGTGCACTGCATTGGTTTTACAAGCCAACTTCCTAAATTTTCCTCTAAAAATTTCCTTACAAAACTCAGGAAGGAAAGACAAAATAACCACAGTACCAGGGCCTAAATGTGGCCCTTGTCTTTTCTTTAAGAAGATACTTCCATCTTGCTTAATGTATCTTCATGAATTACAGGCAATATTAATTTCGATATCATAGTATAATTCATTGGTAGCAAATGGTTAAATAATTGCTTTATTAAATGTACGGTAAGGCATAAAAGCAAATTAAATTAAATATATTATGCTATAATGCATGCTAAATACTTATATGTTAAACTAGAATCACTAATCTAATATAAAAGGGAATTTAGACCAGCTCACATCACATGAAATGTGGTTAAAGCAGATCTAATATACTGTGCTGCCAAAACAGCTTTAATTTCCTGAATTGCCTGGAATAGGAAAATAATTAGGGAAGAATTAAAATATATTGCTCTTGAGATGACTTTGCACTTAAGGAAAACAGAAGACCAAGCAACAGCTTTGAAAACCATTCGTGATGAAATGCAACTACACTCTAAGAAGGGGTATGGGAAGGGCATTTCACAGAAACACAGGATTACTATTATTGCTTTATCTATTTCTACATATAAAGAGGGAAACATATTCTATAAATGCTGCCAAAAGGAAAACACTAGTAACAAAAGTCAACAAGAAAGGGCTTTGAAATCCCCCCAGACCAGAAGATGTTTTCTATAATTAGCATTAATTTAAGAGAATCTTGACCCTAAAAGAAACTGGGAGAAAATACACGGTAATTACAATAACAAGGAATCATCTAGAGCTTATGAAGTTTACTGTGGAAAGATGAATTCAAATAGGCTCATCATGCTTCACCCTGAGCAAAAACTGACATCTCAGGAGAAGCTGTTAATGGTCCAAGACTACCTTCATCATTAAAAAGTACAAATACAGCACTGAGACAAAGGTGGCACAATTACCGTTTCTGTAAGCTACCTCTTCTGCAGACCGCAAATTTGCTGATCTTCACGTTTAAAAATCAAAAAAGGCAGAGGAATGAATCTATTCCTCTCTGAGGGGTGTTTTTGTTTTGGCTATTTTTTCTACAGCAAGAGATCATTAAGAGTTCTTCATTTGCATGCAAAGACGATCAAGTGCTGGGCATGTAAAAAAGCTAACATGAGCTAAAAGAGTGTATCACAGTAACTGCCGGAATCAAGCCAGAAATAAAGAATGTAATGGAAAACACCCAGATACAACCTGTAGAGTGGATTTAAAAAAAAATATCAGGTCTGAAACTATGACTAACAACATCAATTCTTACTGGCACTGAAGTATGATTCGATTCTGCAAATGCCGGTTGAGTTTCCAGGATTTTGCATGGGCAATGCACGTGGAAGACAGAGACGCAACTGGAACATTCCGAAATCATTTTTGCCTTTGTTTCCGAGATTACTTCATCACTCTGTGCTACATAAGCAGATGCAAACCCAGTACTTGATTTCTATTATATACATAGTACTGCTTAAATTCTCACATAAATACTCATAGTTACCTATAGTCATATTTCGACCATAAATTATCTTAGTTCCAAACAGTCAAACATTTAGAATCCATCTCCCAACGGACCTGGAAAACAGCTCTCATCTAATTATTGTGCCACACTTCTCTAAGTGAATGATGTATTAGAAGAACATTCCTGCCTAACATTATTTAATATTTAATTGAGGGCATTCAGATTGCATTCTTCTGTTAATGGATCATTACTGGCAAGATGATAATTTTTTTTCTGGAAATTAAATACGCATGTACGCACTTTTTTCCCCAACAGTCTAAAATAAATCCACACCAGCTTAAGGACTACAGCCTAGATTACTCTTAACAACAGTTTATTGTACAGCTCTGTTTGAAATAACTTTTATTAAGCTCTAAGGTATGGAAAACTTTAGTAAATAGGGCTCCTAGTACTCAGAACCTCTACTAATTTTTCAAATTTTTTAACCATGTTTTTATTTATACTCTGTACACTGTATTTAGCACAGTGACACCTCATGTCACATGAGAAGATACAAAACCACCCCCAACAACATACTTGCCAGCTAGAAAGTGAAGATGTCTGAGTAAAAGAGAACTATGCAGAGAAAAATATCACACCAAACACTATTACGAATACAGCTGTAGGCAGAATATATGGAAGCAACAAACAGAGATAAAATAAAAGTTTTCAAGACTATAGTTACACTCAAAGTAAAGCATGACAAAATTAAATCCTAGCTCTTCTTCTTAAACATATATGCCTTTTATCATCAGTATTCTGCTTCCTCTTGTGATAAAAATATTCGTATCAAGTTTTGTCTCTGCATTTTTTATCAATAATGTTGCTTCAGTTTTTATTCCTCAGTCTATGGAATGTGAGGCAAGCTGGAAGGCTTTACACAAAAATGAAAATAAAAAATAAATACTGTAACCTAAATCAGTCACTCATCCTTAAAAATTTACCCCTACACAAACACAGCTTCGTCGCTTCACTTTTAATATGATCATTTCTCCCATCTCAAAAGATGCATTTCACCAGTGAGGTATTAACGAACGGACAAACAATTCCCAAAGCCAGTTGACTGAAGGAGAGAATGGATAAGCTGGACATTGGGTTACAATCACCGACTGAAAAAAGGGGTTTTCAATTTTTAAGTGATCTGTAGAGATCACACGGGCTTTATCCTAAAAGAAGCAGAAGGCAACCTCTTGAACATCGCCCAACTTTGTCACGCCGCTGTGCATCAAAATAATGAAAATGAAACGTATTTTAGCTGCAAAAGTCTTTCTCCACTTCCGTCTACGCTTACTTTACAACCTATGTTTCTTGTCAAGAGTTCTCTGCACTTCTTTTCTCCCAAAATTTGTCCTTGTTTGTTGCGATATACAAAAATCTATAGAATCTATATAGAAAGAAGTAAAAAAAGACAATTCAGATTGAAACAGGCATTCAATTTATTGCAAACAGCTAGAATAACAATGGCTCACGTTGTGCAAGGGTAACTGTATTACACAGTACCTTGCCCTTCACAGTAATGACATATCAGGGAAAACATAAGAGATCTTAAAACTCAGAAGTTTAAACATATGCTTGCTCCAGGAAAAGGGACCAGAATTTCATTTTAACCTTCTTTGCCTCGTGGGGAGCTATCCAAATTTCCTGCAAGAAGCGTTTTCAATAAATCATGAGATATTTGTATAAAAACACTGCATTATGTAAAAATATTAAATAGCCAATCCTGCAAATGCAAAACAGGTTTTATTTCTCTCTGGCTAACCTTGCCTGTGCAGGAGGAGGGATAAAGTAACAACAGTTTTCATGAATAATGAAACAATCCTGTTTTGAAACTACTGGGTTTTGTCATGAAACGAGCCCAAGCCGTTGTGACAGCTACTCAGACAACCAAGCATCGTTACAGGGATGCAAATTATTCATATACAAATTAAGTGAATGAAGAGGAAAAGGTCAGCTCATTGGCAATGCTGATGATAAGTCTGCACGGTATCATCTCACGTCACCTGTCAGGATGACTTACAGGGAAAAAAATGACAAACCTTCTGATGGTGCCGCAGACATTTCAATGACAGTTATCTAAAGTCCCATTAAAGTAACAGTACAGAATTATTAAAGACACCAGATAGTTCATTTCACCACTTCTCATAAAATGAGCTTTAACTTGACTGGAAATAGTACGCTGTCCTGACAACAAAACGCACAACAGAAAGGACTTTGTATCAAGAAAAAAAAAAACCCTTCCTGGAAATGGCATCATGACTACTGCCGAGCCCGCGCCTTGCGCATCCCTCTTTACTAAAGCAGTGCCAGTTAAAATTAAGCAACACCAACAGTTTCACAGAAGTGGCAAGTAGCAGATAAAATTAATAGGGGAAAAATGCAGTAAGGGCGTATCGCCTGCAGCGCTGTAAACTCCTGCCTCCTGCTCTGGGCCCCTGCTGCTGGCAGGAGAGCGGGCAGGTCCCAGGCATACCCTCTCCCCCAGTGATGCATCTCGGCTCTTTTTATGTCCCCATCTCTTATAAGAGGATGAATCTATAAAATGAAATTAAATATGTCACACTCTCCAAATAAAACAGGGTTAAAAGCAGGCATGGTATTAAAAGAATAGCAGCAATCTGGTTAACATAACTAGATTTCATCTTTCATTAAGTAAATAAAATACTGCTGCTTAGGCTGGAAGAACAAAATCTAGAGATAGTCCTTATTCAATTACCTTTAGGAAGAAACAATATAACAGGAACTCAAAAACTCTTCCTCATAGCTAACTACCTATTTAAATACTATAATTCCACAGATGAGTTTGCCAGCTGGTTCCATAATGAAGCTGAAAGGAGGCAGTCGGAGACTTTATTCAATATTACGCTTCCTGTTCCTCCTCCTTTCTTATATAGACAGTAGGGACACAGAGCCAGGCCACGTTACT